TGTGGGCGAGCGCCGTCCCCAGGCCTAACTCCTCTGCTTGCCCTGGGCATGGTGAGCCCGGCCCGTGGGCGCAGATCAGTAATTCCCAGGCTGCCCCCTGCCGCCTGGACCGCAGCGCGCAGCCGGCAAGCCACAACGCCCCGTGCTGCAGGGCGGCTGGCCGGGCCTCATGCCCGCCTTTCTCCTGCTGCCGAGGCGTGGGGCGTGTTCCCAGCCAGCCACTTCCATTGCCCCTTCCTGAATGGAAAACAACCACAGCTTCCACAAAATGTGGGGGCATCATGAGGGGGGCTACTGTCAGTCTCCACTCCCAAGCCTAGCAAAAGCCCCAGGGTCCCGGCTGTCCGAAGAGAGGAGGAAGGGTTACGAAACAGGGAGGGTGCTCTGGGACGTGGGCGTGGGGCGTGTTCCCAGCCAGCCACTTCCATTGCCCCTTCCTGAATGGAAAACAACCACAGCTTCCACAAAATGTGGGGGCATCATGAGGGGGGCTACTGTCAGTCTCCACTCCCAAGCCTAGCAAAAGCCCCAGGGTCCCGGCTGTCCGAAGAGAGGAGGAAGGGTTACGAAACAGGGAGGGTGCTCTGGGACGTGGGGAAGGGCTGGAAGGATGGGTAGGGAGGTGGTGGATGGGTGGGTAAGGGGACAATGGATTATTGGGGGCCAGGTGGGAGGATGGTGGGTAGTTGGGCAGCTATAAAATGCAGCCATGATGCTAGGATGCACGAACAGGAGTGTTGTGAGCAAGACACGAGAAGTCGTTCTTCCGCCCTGCTCTGTGCTGATTAGACCTCAGCTTGTGTCCAGTTCTGGGCACCACGTTTCAAGAAAGACACGCAGAAAGCGGAGAGGGGCCAGAGAAGAGCAACAGAATGATGAAAGGTCTAGAGAACACGACCTGCGAGGGAAAGAATCGGGCTTGTTGAGTTTGGAAAGGAGAAGGCTGAGAGGGGACGATAGCATCTTATGAAGTACCTAAAAGGGCGTCACACGAAGAAGGGAGAAAACTTGTTCTCCTTGGCCTCTGATAGGACAAGAAGCAATGGGCTTAAATTGCAGCCAGGGAGGTTTAGGTTGGACATTAAGAAAAAAATCCTACCAGTCAGGCTGATTAAACACTGGAATAAATTGCCCAGGGAGGTTGTGGAATCTCCATCACTGGAGATATTTAAGAGCAGGTTAGACAAACACCTGTCAGGGATGATCTATGGTTCTTGGTCCTGCCGTGAGGGCAGAGGACTGGACTTGACCTCTCAAGGTCCTTTCCAATTCTAGGGTTCTATGGCTGGCTGGGCGGATTGGTGGGTGTGCAGGTGGATGATGGAGGGACGGGTGGGAGGATGGGCGGATAGATGATGGGTGTGTTTCTGGACGGAAGGGTGGCTGTGTGAGTGGATGATGGATGGACGGGTAGGTGGATGGATGTTGGCTGTGTTGATGGATGGGTGCATGGGTGGATGAGGGATGGACAGATGGGAGGAAGTTTGGACAGATGGGGGGGTGGATGAGAGATGTGTGGATGGGCAGACAGGTGGATGGACAGATGGACGCCTCTGTGGGATGATAGCAAGCCTGACGAACCTAAGCTCCACCTCTGGGGTGGATATTGCCAGATGTTGGCTGGTCTCGGCCCAAGCAAGTCCGGGTCAGACGCTGCAGGGGCGTTTGGGGCGTTTTCCACTAGTCTACCCCAGGTTTTGACGTTCCCTGATGATAGTGACACTGCACGAACAGGGGTGTCTGTGCCCACACATGCACATGCTGGTATGCGCACACGTGGCGGTGCGTGTGGGTACCTGTGCACGTGTGTGAGGCTACGTCGCGAAGGTCGGGTAGGTGACGTGCTAGCCTCGAGTGTCTCCTCCGGAGCCGTGCCCTGCTAAGCCAGCCCCGTGCTCGCTCTCCCCAGGCAGGAGATCTGCGAGAGCGGAGGCCAGTTCCTCATGTGTCCACTGTGCGACACGTGTCAGACCTGGAACATCTCGGAGATCTGCCCCATGGCTAAGGTAAGAGGAGGCTGCTGGGGGGGCTGAGGCAGGCAGGGTCCATAGAGCTGGAGTTTGGAGCACTCCCTGCTGGCTCTGAGGAGGCACTGCAGGGTGCAGGAGCTCTGAGTCCAGCCGAGCACAGGTGTGAATTGGGGTGGTGAGGACGGAAGGGCACGTGCGGGGGGGGGCCAGAGGTGTGAATTGGGGTGGTGAGGACGGAAGGGCACGTGCGGGGGGGGGCCAGAGGTGTGAATTGGGGTGGTGAGGACGGAAGGGCACGTGCGGGGGGGGGCCAGAGGTGTGAATTGGGGTGGTGAGGACGGAAGGGCACGTGCGGGGGGGGGCCAGAGGTGTGAATTGGGGTGGTGAGGACGGAAGGGCACGTGCGGGGGGGCAGAGGTGTGAATTGGGGTAGTGAGGACGGAAGGGCACGTGCGGGGGGCCCAGAGGTGTGAATTGGGGTAGTGAGGACGGAAGGGCACGTGCGGGGGGCCCAGAGGTGTGAATTGGGGTAGTGAGGACGGAAGGGCACGTGCGGGGGGGAGGGCGTCTGCACCTGGTGAGGAGGCCGGGCAGCCCCTCTGTGCTCTGCCCCCGCAGGTCGGGTACCTGTTCGACCACCCCGGGACGGTTTTCTTCAGCGTCTTCATGTCCTTCTGGGCCGTGACCTTCCTGGAGCACTGGAAGAGGAAGAGCGCCACGCTGGCGCA